AATTACTCTTCCTTCTCTCCCATCCTTGGTAACCATTAAAGAATGTTTCTTTTAGTATGAAAATCTTTTCTTGACTTTTCACAATGGTTCTTGATGTTGTTAAATGCCATTGAGTCAGTTCTGACCCATAATGACCCTGCATAGGGTTTCTGAGGAGCAGCTGGTGGTTTTGAACCACTGACTTTGTGGTTCAAAGTGACCTTGCGATCCAGTGCATTATCCTGTATCACCACATCAGTCGCCTCATACAATATTTGTCCTTTTGTGATTGACTACTTTCACTCATAATGTCCTCCAGGTTTACCCATTTTATTGGTAAACATTTGGCAGCATGTCACAGATTCCTTGTTATTCTTCAACATAGTATTCCATTGTGCACAAGTATCAAAGTTTGTTATGCTTTCTTCCATTGATAAACATTTACTCTGTCTCCATCTTTATACTATTGTGTATAGTGCTGTGGTGAACATAGGTGTGCAGGTATCTATTTGTATCATGGTTATTTTATGAGGATATATGCCAAGTTGAGAAATTAAATTACTGGCTAATTTAGTGGATTGTAGTTAGCTGGGTTGCTAACTACAAGATCAGCAGTTCAAATCTGCCAATCCCTCCATGGGAGAAAGATGAGGCCTCCTGCTTCTGTAAAGGTTTACAGCCTCAGAAACCCTGTACAGGGCCGCTATGAGTCGGAACCAAGTCCACGGCCCATAACCACCACCACCACCACCACGAGTCAGAACCCTATACAGAGTCACTGTGAGACATACCTGACTCTACAACACAACCACCGCCACCACAGTAACTCTGTTTCCAACTCTTTATAAAAGCACTGTATCATTTTCCACAGTGGTTAAACATTTTACAATCCAACCAGCAGTGTAAGAGGGCACAGTCTCTCCATACCCTCCCCAGAATTTGTTGTTTTCTGATTTGTTAACTTTGTTATTAATGCTGCCATGAGATGATCTATCTTTGTTGTTTTGATTTGCATCTCTCTAATGGGAGTATTGGTGTGGCACTGTGGGCTAATGTGTCAGACTGCAAAGTCGTTTGAACCGCAAGGTTGGTGGTTCAAGCTCACGAACTGCTCCTTGGAAACCCTATACAAGGTAGCTATGGGTCAGAATCGACTCAACAGCACTTAACAACAACAAAAACAATGGACTCCTGGTATGGGGCTGTAGGATCAGCACTGGACTGCAAACCATAAGGTCAGCAGTTCAAATCCACCAGCTGTTCCTCAGAAACTCTATACAGGTCACTATAAGTCAGAACCAACTCAATGGCACTTATCAACAACAACAGTGGACTCCTAAGGAGCTGTGGTAGCATAATGGTTATGAGTCAGGGCTGCTAA